GTCACCACATATGAATATCATATATAATCATATATAATCATATCAATGTTCTTGCTTTCAAACGATGAAACCTAATCAGAAAACATAACCTGAAGCCAAAATGTTGTAACTGGAAAAAGAAGCTGCAATTATAATAAAGAGTAAGAAAGTCATCGAAGTCTTGGTGTTGCCCATTTTCTTGCTCGAAGTATCAAACTATAAAGTCTATTTAAAAAATATGTTATATTTATAGAACATAAAGTTTTTTGTGATTGTCAAAAAGAGGTTTACAATTGGTGGATCTGCCATATATATTAATAAATTTGTATTTTGACTAACAAATATTTTTATATACATTGGTGCATGCATATGGATCTTCACATATACTCAATAATATTTTTACTCGGACTAAAGAGATTTTCTTCTTAATTATTTTAATTTTTCAAAAGCAAGGTTGACCCTGATCATATACCATATCAAATTAGGCTAAAGAATCGGGTTCAAAGAATAGCTAAAACATTTGGTTTGAAATAAAATGGTTTATTATTTTTAATTTTTTTTTACTACTATTGAAGTGCTTAACATCTGGAAATAAATTGGAATTATGGCTTATGTACTCAGCTCTGGCTCAAGAAATTAGAATTCCCTTGGGCAAAATATGTTTTTGGCCTTTTATCTAATTTATGCTAAAGAAATTCAATTTTTTGGGCCTATAAAAACTGAGTTTTAAGATATCTTTATATAAAAATTGGCATTTTCACATTTGAGAACAAAAAATGAAAAATAGACCTAAAGTTATTTCCGGTCACCTATTCGACTACTTTACAATAAAAATGGGCCCCATAGTCTTAGGATTGTTTTTTCGAAATAAACGGCCTTTGCGACGCTGCCCCTCTCTCCACCCTATTTGAGCCAGACCTGTGTATACTTCTTGTTGTAGTGTTTCTCGTGCCAACAAGACTAATAGCCATAACCACCTTCTCAACTCCATTTATTCTTGTGACTATGACCAACTTGTCTACCATCTCCCATCGTGGAAATCCGTTAGACAAACTTTGATCTCACATGTATTAACTAGCTTATTAGCCTTTGCTTCAAAGCTCTCTTGGGTTATTTTTTTAACTCATATTATCTATCTTTAGATGCCTTGCTTGTTTTTGTTCTAAAACTTTGGATTTATGTATCCTTCTCTTTGTACTAATATTTATGATTTATAAATCAAAATTTTGGCCCAAAAAAAAAGTGAAATAACTCTACCTATAGAACCGAAATTGCAAAGAACGACTTGGTAT